TATGTTCTATTGTTTTGAACCAAACGATACATCGAACCGTTATCGAATACGGTCTATCGAAGTTCCCTGTCTCGACGCACAAGTATGTGTTTCTGGAACTTTTAGGCGGGAATATTTGAAAACAACGTTAATTTTTTTAGGTTAAACGATGTCAATTGAGGGTCAACGGGAGGTGAATATTTTGCGTTATTTCGACCAGGTATAAAACAAAAAACAATAACATAACACCGATATGGATTAAAAGAAAATATATTCGATAAAATTTTATTTTTCTGCTGTAGTGATATGCTACAAACGAAAATGTAAAATTGATACTGAAATGTATATAAATATTTCTAAATATTAACCGCTCCGAAATAAAACACCCGTAATAAACTCCCGCTTCACGTGTAACCAGCGGTTATCAATTCAAAATACGAAGGTAAACAACTGTTGAGGTTCCAGGTTTCTGACCTTGAAAGTTTCTGTTATAAGTGAAACATTTTTGAGACACTTCCTTCCTTCAACAGTTGCGCCAACTTCCCTCAACAGTTGCGCCGTGGAGACAAGGCCTTACGGTGAGCCGCCATCTTGTTTGTTTATGTACGGCCGTAAGAGCATCATGAAGCCTAAAAACTCGTTGACCAATCAAAAAGCGGAACAGTTTTCCTGTAGTAAAAAGATACGAATGGCCATACTCTGTCTATAATCTTGAAAATAGCGCGGGCCGCGCTATTTTCAGTAATCAACAGTCATCAGCAGTATCGATGAGTCATTTTCACGAAATCGGCTGTCGTGTGATCTGGGCTTTATTTTCATCCAGATTTGTGCCAAATCTATTCGAATAGCTCCGACAAATCCAACAGTAGTCCGATAGTTGCTGAATTTTGAGCGTCACGCGCAAAATTCAGGCATCGGGCCGATGACTCCCACATTCAGCGTGTGATGGCGGCAAAAACCGACGAAATTTCTGCCCAAATAACCGTAACTTGCGATTTTTCCTCAGAATTGATATTTTACTTGCCGGAATTTTTGAATTTTAGATTTAGGCCCTTTGAGGCACGGGTTAAAAGAGAATACATAGAAACTTTTTAGGGGTTGAGCAACTTGATTTTCGCAAAACTCAAAAATAAGGTACACCCTATAGCGTCCTACCCACTTTCAAACTGGCACCGATCTTCTATTTCTCAGCCATTTCTGAACGGAAATCCTTGATAGGGATGGACGAATATCGAATTCGAATATTCGAAACTTTTCGAATTCGATTATTGCGAATATTTGAGAATTCGAATCTTGCGATTGCGAATAGTCCGGACGCGAATATTCGAATATTTTCGATTATTGCATCGATTATTGATTTTTTATGAACCGTGAGAGATAAAATGACACTTTTGACACTTTTGAATGCGATTATTCGAATATTCGAATGCGATTATTCGAATATTCGAATTAGCGATTTTGAATACTTCGGAAGCGAATATTCGAATGTGATGCGATTATCTCGGTGCCGATGATTCGAATATCAAATATTCGAATATCTAAATATTCGACTATCCCTAATCCTTGATAATTGCAAGATCTGATCAGTGGTGTATCTCGAGTACATCGGTTACCTTCCGACGATCTTTGATAGACAACAGTCAACAGTTCCATCGATGAGCCTCTTTGAAGTCCCTAGTTTGAGGATTGGACGCTAATATAGTAGGGCGGATAAGCATAACAATCGTGCATTTCTGGAAGAAAGCATGAAACTTTCAGGATATCATCTTTACCTATAGAAGGTTCAATTTCGCAAGTGAGCCCAAAATTCTGAGGCCATGGGGGCCGGGGGGGCAGGGGGCCCTGATTTCGCTATGTTTTGCCGAATTTTCGCGTTGAATCATCGTGAGAACGCCGTTAACAATGTAAAATGTGATCAAAACCTGTGTAAACGTCATTAATAGGTTCTCTCAAACAGTATCCTAAAATGCTAGCACTGTCCGATCCCGGAGCACCCCTCAAAATGCCTAAAATTCAAAATGGCGCCCATAATAAGGCCTCTGGAATATCGGTATTTTCACTTGTGCATATCCTGTCATGTGACGTATCGTTTTCCATGTAATTTTGGTCGTAGAGTTCATATTTGAAGTCAAAAAAACCCCCCCGGTCAAAATTGGTGCCCCCAATCCAAGATGGCGTCCAGATTTGAAAGGCAGGAGGGTGAATTTTTTAAACTTTTACGCGATAAGGCAAGTGATATGTCATTTCCTATGTAATTTTGGTCGCAGATTTCATTACTGAAGTCAAAACAGTCCTCCGGTCAAAATTGGTGCCTCAAATCCAAGATGGTGGCCAAATTTTAAAGGCAGGAGGGTGAATTTTTTAAACTTTTACGCGATAAGGCAAGTGATATGTCATTTCCTATGTAATTTTGGTCGTAGATTTCATTATTGAAGTCAAAAAAGCCCCCCGGTCAAAATTGGTGCCCGAAGTCTAAGATGTCGGCCAAATTTGAAAGGCAGGAGTGTGAATTTTTATGAGAAAAATAATCACGTGAGATGACAAGAGAGGGAGGTATTAATTCATACGAATTTTTAGTCAACAAAACGAATCTAAATGAAATGTAAAAAAAATCTTTTACACAAAAATGAATCGAGATAATCAAGATGATTGCCATCATGGCTGACAAGTGAAAAATGATGACCCACTAATAGTGAGGTGTCTTGCTGGTTACTGCACAAAAACTCTGAACTCAATTTCAGATGCCCTAGACTCAGAGGATGAACAATTAATAAGTACCGAAAATAATTTAGAAAACTTTCAGTCGGTTTCAGTTGGTGGGTCTCTACTCCATCGAGTGCGATCGAAGCATAGGGCCTTGTCCACACGAACGTGGTTCGCGGAACTTATTCGGAGGAACTTGTTCCCGGAACAAGTTTTAGCTGAGCTAAAAACTTATTCCTCCAAAACCCGGAACTTCCCCCATACTCCGAGCTTCTATATATGTTTCTTTTGATGTGAATTTGTTTGTTTTTGTTTTTTTACGTCCGTGACATGTCTTCTTGACATTTATTTTTGTTACTTTGGCGGCCGTAATAATCTATTATTTTGCGATAATTGTATAGTTTTATTGAAGTTCCGGTTTCAGTTCGGGCGAACTCGTGTGGACAGCATCCCTTGTTTCAAGGAATAAGTTCCGGGAACTGAGCAGTTCGTCGAATAACTTCCTCGAACCGCGCTCGTGTGGACAGAGCCTAAGCATACTTACGAATCCATTGCACAAACCTATGTTCCATCAAATTGATGAGCAGACACCGATGTTTCTTTGCGTTGTAGTGATGTTAAACGCGCAAAATCCGAGATGATAGCTGCTCTTGCATGCGTTCACTGGTTGCCATTCAACCCCTCACATCCATAAAATAGGAACAGCAACTTTATTCTGTACGCTTTTATGTGATCCTTACCTGCAAGAATCTAAAGAAAGGTTCTTGGAACCTAATCAAAACCATGAACGGATACAAAGAGCTGGAAAAGAGTAAATCGATGGTGAAACTGCTTAAATACTACTTCGGTTTGCGATGTTGCAGACTTCTTGTCATACTTACGTTCCTTCATTAAAAAATACTGGAGTCATTTCTTGAAAACTTTGCTTGTTTTCACTCTCTATGTGAGGAATAATCTGTAAAAATGTCAAGCCATGATGTTGGTTTGGTCCCCTTTCAAAAAATAAAATAGGAGCGAATATTTTGAAATCCTGCAACCAAGATACGCACTTTTGCTGTTTCACCGTCGAAATATTACTCCTCAATGGTAGCCAAAAAAATGTGACTTCCGAAGACCTCCGTCATCATATATCGAAGGAAAAATTTCCAGCTTTCAAAGTCTTCATTCAATTAGAGAAATTACCCTCGATATCATCAGCAATGAAGTAGGTAACATTAATTTAGGAGCTACTTTTATACTCAACTGTGGATGGGATGAAGTGATCTGGATGCTTGTCTTTGGGGATGTATGAATAAAAACAAGGAGCTTCATCCTATTTTAAGTGACTTGCCTCCAGCTTCCGGAATCCCCGCTTAAAATTATCCGGTGTAATTGTAAGAAAGGGAGTGACACCATGCTGTACCACCAAGAAAATAATCTTTTCGTTCTTAGACTCATGCAGAAGTTCTGAAGACTCCAACTGTAAAAACGTACAGAACCGTAGGAGGAAGATCCTGAAGAGCCTCACTGGGAATGTGAATCAGCATGTGTTGATTAGGATTTTCTCCTATACTGACTGGAGTGGGTACGGCAGGTGCGTCGCGTGAAATGTCCTTATCTTTATTGAGAAATTATATGGGCTTAAAAATGAATAAAATAGCTCAATATAGATGCTCCTGTTAACATCATTCCTACCGTGGACGGCCAAACTGATCACCCTCTTAATTATCTCGTATCATTTTTGTGTAAAAGATTTTTTTTACATTTCATTTAGATTCGTTTTGTTGACTAAAAATTCGTATGAATTGATACCTACCTCTCTTGTCATCTCACGTGATTATTTTTCTCATAAAAATTCACACTCCTGCCTTTCAAATTTGGCCGACATCTTAGACTTCGGGCACCAATTTTGACCGGGGGGCTTTTTTGACTTCAATAATGAAATGTACGACCAAAATTACACAGGAAATGACATATCACTTGCCTTATCATGTAAAAATTAGAAAAAATGCACCCTCCTGCTAGAGTACCTATATTGAGAGAGTATGGCCACTGTAGTTACCACCTCTGATTGGCTCAGCCATCTTAGGCTGAATGGAGCCCTTAGGACCCAAAAATGGCGGATGCCATAAAGTTAATGTAATGCAAAATGATTCAAAATGTAGTTGTCTTTGCTTATCGTAACGAGAAATTTACTCAAATGCATTATTGCAACATCTTTACATATTTTTAAGGCTAATCGTGTGCAATTTTTGAGAAAAATTATCTTGGATGTAGTAAGATTGGCAGCAAGTGCGGTTGGTGATAACCGTCAAAAGTTGGCAATGACCCCCCTCCCATCCACAAAAACCAAAACAAAGCACCGCCATTTTTGGGTCCTAAGCCTCTCCATGAACGAGTAGCAAAGGTCGACATCGGCAATGGTCGATTCGTGGCGAACGGTCAGAGGTCGATTCGCGAACGGTCATACGTCGATGCCCGAACGCACCGAACCAATCGAACCTAGTTCACCATTGTGCATTATATTTTACTATTCAATATTCATTTTATCGTTTGTTGCAAATGGAGCATTATGTATAGGCTGCTTGTCTTCGCCGTGGACGACACTAAAGACCTCTAAGTTTAAGTAGCTCTCTTAGCAGAACGAGAGCCATAATGGATCAGGAAATTCCATCAATGGTTGTAAATTAAACTAAATTTATGCTTCGTTTCTGACCCTTAAAGTAGATACCTAAGTAAACAGGTCTCGATTTTTAATTTGACCTCGACTGATGAGCAATAAAAGCCTAGCGTATTTTTGTCTTCCTTTTCTTCATAAGAGAAAGGCTATGTCCAATAATAGACTTAATTGAAAATGAACTTTGGAGAAACGTTCTCCTCTTAATTTTGCACCATGATTTGAAGAGAGAGGTCTTCAGGATTTTTCCATTCTGATACTTGGAGGGAATTTAAGTTTTTTTAATATCTTTTCTAATAAGACCCAGCTGGGGCACTAAGTGGCTTTTTTTATTTATTTTTATCTTTTAATGTGATTAGACATACACATCAATGGTGAACCTAGAAAAATTTCCATTGTGCAAGGAATATGGATTGATAGCATCTCAGAATCGGTGCATTACATGCAATTTTTCTTCATGTACTGATCCGTTATGCTTCAAAATAGTAAAAAATTTAAGAACATCTGAAATGATGCAACTGCAGATAGGATTGTGGTTAAGTGATGTCACCTTCATTATGCATCCCCTTAAAATGGAAGGATTTATAAAATGAACTTCAAATTTCTTCAATGAAAGTGAAAAACTCTTATGAAGTTGCGTGTAAAAATCAATGTCTCATTTCTGTGTTTTCAGAAACAAGTCGCGGTGAAAATGCCTAATTTTTTTTTTAATTTCATGGAAAATAAACTTGATTTTTCTCGTCTTTGAAAGTATCTTATCATGTCCTACCGCGATGTGCAAAAAGAATGCTCGATAGGTACCTATGTCATAACTTTTTCCATGTTTGAATTAAAATGTTCCGATTAGGACTAGTGTGAGAAGTTCCAGTTGTACTTCTTTGAGGCTGGGCCTCAGCCGGCTCTTTCACTTTTGCAGTCAAGTATACTTAGTGTTTCATCCTCTTATCTTTTTGTGTTCGTGTTTTCAGCACCCTGTCTCTCTTTAGTAGGGAGCCGAGGCACCCTTCTATGACTCAGTCTTGTCACGTTACAGTATGAGGAACTGCGCAAAAGCAGATTGAAGCAAAGGAAACTGTGTCGGTAGTAAATTCTAGGTATCCTACATGAATGTATTTATTTCCAAGTAACTCCTGTGGGTAACAAAACGTTGGCTTCCACGTCAAGAATAAAGTTGTCAAAGTAGAGGCTTGAAAGCAACTTACAATGAGGTAGATGTAAAGACCTGTGATATTAAAGCGTATTAAAGGTGATAAGGAACTTTACCATCGAAGAAATCTTCAGTCATGGCGACTATGACCATGGAGCAGAGACGTTTCCCTCGCTGTATAAGAAAATCTGCCATTAAAGTTTTTCAAGAACAAGAAAAGCTATAGTTTCATCTGCATTTTTATCAACTTGGTTCTCAAGAAACCTTCAATGATCAGACGCAATGATATGCTCCTTTGGCGTGGTAGCGAGTGGAGATAATCTATGAACTGCTGAAAGACTACTTTTTCCTCAAAAAGTGGATTTTTCCACCTACCTACGCGAAAGTCGTAGAATGTCCACTCAATTAGGGCTCAGACTGAAAAAGAAATTAATTAATTAATTTAAACTGACTCAAAAACACTTCCGGATTGAACAGCTTCGATTAACTTCCCACCGTTCCGACAATGAACAGCAGTGGCTAGGCAAGAAATTACTACATACTAAACAGACACACTGCCAAAAAAATAATTTATCCGACGACATGCGAAAATTTATTCAGTGAAAAATATTAGACATTCTTGACTATTAAATAGGTAGATGTACTATTACTATTACTAATGTCCTCAAAGTCAAAAGGGGTTAGTTTAATGAGAAACAATAACAAACTCGTCCGAACTCGCCCCGGCGAATGTTCATGACATTCGCGGCAGTTCGCGGAACCATTCGACCCGTTCGCTTCGAGTCGACGACTGCCCTTTTTTCGAATTCGACTTCTGCCGATGTCGACGATTGAACTCCGCTCCTCTCCATGAGGCCCAGTGGCCATACTCTCTCAATAAAGGTACCCTGGCTTCTTATCGATGTTAGGCCTTGTCTCCACGGCGCACTATGGTCCCATATCCCGATTTAAGCGGCATTAAATCAGATATGTATGTTTATACCTTGCAACATGAGTTTTCAGGGGTTTTTTGGGTCGCTGAGTGCAAATATGCTAACATTTTTCAGAAAAAAATCAATTTTTAACATTTTTATACTTTTTCATAACTGCGGTATAATTTGGGCAAAAACCTTAAATTGAGGCGAAATTTCAATGATTCCGCAGTGGTGTAGTGGACACCGTGTCCAACCTGTGAATCTTGGATCTCGGGTTCGATCCTCAGAGGATTTTTTTTTTTTTTTTTTTTTTTTTTTTTTTTAAGCTTCACAATTAAATTTTACATTGGATGGACTATAAGAAGCTAAAAGTAGAACTTCGTCGAACACTACTGTGAAGGGAACTTGAAAAAGACAGCTCAGGATAATACTTCAAAGTTTCATGGCTGTGGAGGCCTACTTTCAAGTTCCACCGATCAGCCGTTTGAACTTGTTTTCGTCTGCCAAGCTGAACTTAAGCTTAAATATATCCATTTTGATAGACTTTTGATAGACAAAAGTTGGCAATGACCCCCCTCCCATCCTCAAAAACCAAAACAAAGCACCGCCTTTTTTGGGTCCTAAGCCTCTCCATGGGACCCAGTGGCCATACTCTCTTAAGGTGATTCGTCAAGCTCAAGTGACGTGGTCGAACTGGCATGCGATATATCCCATCTTTTAGGTCAAAAATCTCGGCAGATTTTGAATTTTCAGCAAGCAAAAGGACGATAGCCCCTGCGCATGAGCCTGAAGAATCATTCTAAACCCAAAAATCGGCAAAATTCAGAGAAATGAAAGCAGGATAGTGTTTGGAAAAAAACATCGCATTCGATTCAGCTATCTATTTCGGTATCGAATGCGAGGTTTTTTTCCAAACACTATCCTGCTTTCATTTCTCTGAATTTTGCCGATTTTTGGGTTTAGAATGATTCTTTAGGCTCATGCGCAGGGGCTATCGTCCTTTTATTTACTGAAAATTCAAAATCTGCCGAGATTTTTGACCTAAAAGATGCGATATATCGCATGCCAGTTCAACCACTTCTTTTGAGCTTGACGAATCACCTTAATATAGGTACTCTACCTCCTGCCTTTAAAATTTGGCCACCATCTTGGATTTGAGGCACCAATTTTGACCGGAGGACTGTTTCGACTTCAGTAATGAAATCTACGACCAAAATTACATAGGAAATGACATATCACTTGCCTTATCACGTAAAAATTTGAAAAAATGCACCCTCCTGCCTTTAAAATTTGGCCACCATCTTGGATTTGAGGCACCAAATTTGACCGGAGGACTGTTTTGACTTCAGTAATGAAATCTACGACCAAAATTACATAGGACATGACATATCACTTGCCTTATCGCGTAAAAGTTTAAAAAATGCACCCTCCTGCCTTTCAAATCTGGACGCCATCTTGGATTGGGGGCACCAATTTTGACCGGGGGGGGGGGGGGTTG